GACCGGTCCCAACGATTCCTAGAGGTTGGCGGAGAGGCGCGAGCGAGCAAGTAGAGACACCCAGAGCGAGCGAGAGGTTCGGAGGGCGAGCGAGTGGGCGCACGGGAGGACAGGGGCTCCAGTGATGCCCCCGAGCCCAGGTTGGGCGCGAGGTGGAGCCCTGCGGATCCCCGGGCGGTGGCTTGATGGCGGAGCCGGAGTTCCCCTCCACCCAATGCGCCCAGACGAGAATCGAACGCGAGGTCCAGAAACAAAAGCGAACCGTCCTCCGACAAAACAGGTTCAAAACTGTACACACACGCGCGCACACACACATACACACACACACACACCGGAGACCCACAACTGCAAAAACGCACACTCGCGCACGCGTGCACTCACACGCAACCACTGGCACAAACTTCTCCAGAGAAGAGCAATACACAGAAACGCCCCCTCCCACCGCCCACTCCTTCCATCATCCTCTGTCCTTTTCTCAAAAACAAAAAACAAAAAACTAGCTACCACTCAGCAAAGGACTGTCAGTGAACTTTCGAATGAAAACAAACGAGACCTATAAAAAAGACCCTTTGTGTGGATTATATTATATATAAAATGCTCCAAGTCCTGCTTGATGTCTACTTACAATGAGACTTTTTTTTCCTAAAAAAGGAAGCATCAAAAAAGGCTTAAGGTGAGATATTCAACTGGAAGTCTAGCAACAGTTTCTCTGTATTTCATAACATCTGTATAAATAGGGTTCAAAGGATTGTGTTCTCTTTTAATTTCTTGTAAATGTTCATTCGAATAGTTTTTTTTTGTGAATTCCTGAAATTCAGGGAGTTTCTTTTTAATTTTCTGATGCACTTTGTGAAAGTCAGTATATATGTAAGAGATATTTAAAATGTTGAGTTACCATTTCACTCAAACCCGTAAGTTAAGGTCATCTAAAGAAATTAAATGCGTTTATCTGTATGAAGAAAATCTTGACATCATATTTTTCATTTTGGTATTATTAAAAGCCTCTGAACACCCTCCCCCCTTAAGAAATACCTTCCTCACCCCCAATAGTATGAGATCAATTTTTTTTTTTTGGTTGGGAAGCAAATTCTCTTGTTAGTTGTAGGCTATATGGGTTGCAAAAGCCATAACACAGATACATTTTGAGAAGTCAAAATTATTTATTTGTATATCAACAGCATAAATTAAATTGGGTTATAAGAATGTGTAGTTGTATTACTTAATGGGAGGGCTAGCAAAAGGTGACATTTTAAATCTCTGGATCGCCTTTTAAAAAGCCAGGTCTTTTGGCAGTTTTAACTGGGGAGGTAACTACATATCCCAGAGGGCTCAGAGAAAATTGGTGGATTTGTTTTTTAAATCTGATTTTTAAAACAATCTATGAAAGAAAAATCTTTCTAGGAAAAAAAAAGTCTTTTAGTTTCCAAGGCCCTCTACGTTGGGAGGCATCTCTGGGGAATAAATCGCTAGAGTCAATACCCCGGAAAAGACATTTCATGCCTAAATGAAAATCTTGTTAAATGTTATTAATTTTGACTTAGAGCACACAGCAGCCCCCGGTGCCTTGTATTCCCTTATTAGGGATTCATGTCTTATCAAATATCTAATTAATCTCCTAGACATCATTTGTTCTGGCCAACTTTATCTCAGCTGGTCCACGGGGAAAACTCCAAATATTCTCTGTGACAAAGCTCCCTTGAAGATCTTTTTAATTGTCTAAATTAACTGCACCAAATTTGCATGTCAAACGGTAAAGGGCAACCTGAGATAAAATGTAAACGTTTTAGAAGCCCCAAACTAAGCACTTGATTTGATAACTAGGCTTTTTAATGTTATGGAAGACAACTGCTCCTTTCCCTTTCAAAGAGGGCTGATCTATGCAAATAGTGAATTGGAAATGCCTAGGTCCCCTCGCCGTCAAATGGCCCTCGCAGGTTATTTGAATATCAGTGGCTGCTTCTGAAAAGGTTCAAGGATGCTCTCGGCCTTCTTTGTGATTACTCAGTGCGGCGTCTTATTCTGAAGAAAAAAAACTCAGGAATAATTAAAGGCTGAGATCAGGCCTGGGAACACATTTGGGACAGGAATCTCATTTAGACAGTCTCTTTCAAAATAAGGCACAGTTAAATTGACCAGAAGGCAATTATTGAAATGAAAATTATTTTCACTCTCTTTGTCTTCTGACCACCAACTTAACAGCCCCCGTTTAAAAAGAGGGAGAACGGAGAGAATGACGAAAGGGAAATTGGTAAATGAGACAATTTCGCAATTCGAAAAAAAAAATGTTAGTTTGGAAAAGAAAGTACATATTTACAGAATAAAAATATTTCTAAAAGGCTTCTCACACAATAGAAACTACAAGCGAAGTCAAAATCAATAAATTTCTCTCTCTCTTTTTTTTTTTCATTACTGGCCTTGGAAACTTAAATGAAGATTTTGATTCTTTGGAAAGAATACATTATTGGTATTAACAGTCAACAAAAACTGCTCTGAAAAGCCAAATAGCAAAGTAGCGAGGAGACAGCCGGAAGGTTCCCAGCGGGGCGTCTGCAGCACGAGGAGGTTCTTCCTCCTGTGGTCCCCGCCGCCCCAGCTGCCAGGCTCTTCTGCCTCTAGTTTTTCTCTTTGGTCATTTTCTCTCCTGGCTCATCCATTCCTGCCTGGGATCGCCCCCCCCCCTCCCCAGGCGTCTTCGGGTTTGGGTCTGGTCTTGGGGGAGAAGCTGGCAGAGGGGCGTTTATTCTGGGGGCTCTGGGCAGAGGCTGTGCAGGCCCATAGGGTGCCCCGCGCGTCTGGGGGCTGCGGGCTGGAGGCGCGGAGGTGAGTGTGTGCTGGGGGTTCCTGAGAAGGAGGGCGCCGGGACGTCGGTCCCCGGCAGCTTTGTTTCTTGTTGATAATAAAGGCAGATCAAAGGGCCTGGCTGTGCAGGTCTCGCTCCCGGAGGGGCTCCCTCCGCAGGCCAGTGATCAAGGCCTCTGCGCGCTGCCTCTGCCCCGCGGGTCAGCCGACGTCCATCACCGCGGCTCCGGTGAACCGCGGGCGGCAGCCCGGGCCCCAGTGTCCAGCCAGACACCGTGTGCTCCGAGGCTGAGCCAAGAGGGACCGGGTCCCTAGCTCCTGTCGGAAACCCAGCAGGGGAAACACACCAGTCCCACGTCCCCCTCCAGCTCTAGGCGTCCCCCGGGCGCGGAGAACCTTGACCTCAGTGGGTGGCGACCGCCCGAAGGCTAGCAGATTGAAGAGAGCGTGCACCAGAGAAGTCCACCAGCGAGGACACCAGTTGGGTCCCCAGCTGAGGTGCGGCTGCGCCTCCCCAGGGCCACCTCCGGGTTCCCGCGGCCTGGGCCTAACTGGGTCCCGGGTAGAGTAGATGGGGAGGCCGCGGCTGGGGGTCCATGCTGGGAATGAGGGCATCGACCTCGAAGTGGATTTTGTGGAGCCAGGGCTGGGATCTGGGGCCAGGAATCCCGCTCCCGCCGGGGTGAGGGGAAATGCAATTTCGTTTCAGCGAGTTTCCAAAGATTTCTTGTTTCCAGCTTCCGCGCAGCAGATGAACCAAGACCAAGTTTGCTGGGCCTGCGCCTACCCGGCCCCGATCCACACCCTCCCCAGTATTTTTCTTTCTTGGCGTGATCCTCCCCCCCATCCCCCCGCCCCGCGCGCCTCTTGGAGCGAACAGGGTCCTACCTGATTAGGGAAAAGGAGCAGAAAAAGATTTCCTTTCCTCAAGGACGTTTGGAAATGAAAACATTTGGATGAGATTAGATTGTGCACCTGAACCGCGCGCGTGTCTGGACATTTCCGTCAAATCGTCACCGGCCGTGCAAAATTGAATTTCTTTTTATTCACATGGAAACTTTATTTATTTTAACTCTAATCTTATTTGCATCTATTATCTGTATTCACCAAGGCTCTCTTCCACTCCAAAAATGCAGATGAAGTAAATCTCACATAAATCCCGCCCATTTGTGTAATTGGTATACTAAGTGTTTATTTTAAGTGAGAATAATTTAGCTACAAATTTTCTTAAGGAATAACATTCTTAACACATTAAAAAAACTGAAAACTCTGATTTGCTTTTATGTTTGACAGTAGCTCTTGATTCCCCCAAGAGGCGTACGGCGAGTGTGGCTCTCTGGCGCCATCTAGAGCTCCTGCCGGGGAGGTCCGCGCTGGCGGCCTGGCACTTGGCTATTAGCGCGCGGAGACTGGCTTCGGTCGCGAACTCCGACAACCCAAGGAATCAAGTAAAGAAAAGCGAGGTTTTGTGTTTCAGCTGGGGACAAGCCCCATTTTGGGGGGACACTGCCTAGCAGTGGCTCCAAGGGAAGGGGATTATTTCTGGAACACGTTTACTGAAAATTCCAAGCAAAACAGACTACCGCCCTGCTTGGCCTTGGTCTTAGCTTGCTTTCATTGTTTCATTGAGCATTCTTTCCTAGGCGATTTCAGAGTCTTCCAGCACTCATAAATGAGAAAGCTGAACGCTGTCGGTAGCGGTAGCGACGTGGACCCGGGGTAGAGATCCCGAGGTGGGCACAGCTTGCCTCGAACACTTTGCCCAGAGCACTGGGATCGAGGGCTGCCGGACCGTGGGGTCTACGTGGACTACCCAGGGCGGGCGGGAACGCAATTCACTCAACCAGGTCACCAAGACCTCTTCAGGTTCCCAGAACCCCTAGGATAGGAGGGAAAGGCAGAGAGTCCCGAGGCTCTGGCCAGCCTGGACCCACCGACCACCGCAGCAGCCCTCTGCAGGGCTTCGGTGCTCTGGGAGGCGACCGCTGCCCGAGTGGGGCGCAGGGGGCATCTGGGCTGGCCAAGGCGGGGCCGTGCGCGCGAGGCCCTAGAGGGCGACCAGGAGCCGCCAGAGTCCTCGCCCCAGGTCCTCCCGACGGGTGCGCACCCCCTCCCAGAGCAGACCCACCCCTTTTGTCCTCGCCTTTTCGAAACCCAAATCTGAAATGAGATAACAGTTGGGGGCGTTGGCCAATTTTCTCTTCTCTGTGCTTCGTCCTGCCTCCTGCCGCCCCCTTCCCTCCTCTTCTTAGTCCACTACCCCTCCCCCATCCAGGAGCCCTAGACGCCTGGCAGCGACTTTCTCCCCTCCCCCCTCAGCACTTATTGTATTTTAATTTAAAAAGCGACACCTTCCAACCCCGCGCCCGCCGGAGGAGGAAAGAAACGCAGTCACCCGAAGCTGTGAGAGAGCAGCTGAGGCTCCGGGGTGCCGGGCTCCCCAAACTCAAGCCAGGGAAACGCAGCGCGCTTCTGGGAACTCAACAGCCACCTTTGTAGCGGGTACTCGGCTGGGTTTGTATTTGCTGTTTTAATACAAACCCCGCCGCACTGCCTATTTCAAAGATGTGCTAATTACTACTTGGATAGCAGGGCGCAAAGTCCTTGTCCATTTCCCAGTACAAAGTAGGTTGCTAGAAAATTTGAAATTGCCTTTCAGCCTAAAGCTGCCTTACCTGAATGTCATAATTACAGTAATTATGTACATCCAAATTACATGCTAATTAAATTAGAATCAAATCGTTCTAAATCGAAATCAAATGAGGTAGTGAAGAATTAATCAATGACAACATAAATAGAGCTCTTCCTTCAGAGATATTTATTGTAACGATCCAAGGAGGAATTTGATCTGAAAAAGTCACCTGTTTATTTACTTTCAAATTAGTAATCAGTTATTATCCCTTCTCCATAATTTTAACCGTTCAGTGCTATTTACCCCCCACCTTTTCCAGACGCTGGAGTTTATAGAAATATGTATGAGATAAATACATACAGACTTGCCTCCCCATATATTATTGATATAAATATGTACGGGTGTTTGGAACTCGAGTTAAGGTTTCCGAATGTCCGTAGGGACACATTCCTCCAGAGTCAGTTGGCCCGGATCCGGGGAAAGCTGTAGGTTTTCCCAAACCGTAGCCTTCTTTTTCTTTGGACATTCACTGGGGATTTTGCATTGTTTCGCAGGCATCTTGCCACTTCGGGGGTGATTCGTTGATGAAAGAAATGCAGAGTGATAGGCTGTGACTCCCTCAGTCCGCTGTCTTCTTGTAGGTTGCTAGTGAGCTTTGGTATTTTCTTCTTCTTCCGCGCCAGGAGCCGGAGATTGGTATTGGCTTTCCAAAGCGCGGTCTTCACCTGTGGAGCCCCAGCGAGCAGAAAAATTCTCTCGCTTTCCAAGCCACCGCGGGCGAGTACGCCCTGCGACCCGCTCAGAGAACACATGCAGGAGGCCTGGCGAGCCCTGGTGGGGACAGGGCGTCAAGGGCCAGGACCCCGGGAGGTCGAGCCCTGGCTCGCAGCCTCGCAGAGGGACCTGCGAGTGTCTTCTGGCTGGGTTCGGGCCACCGCGGGTCAGAGCCAGGGTACCCATGCAAAGAGCCAATTTGTCCCTGTCTCTTAACGCATGTGAACAGGAAGTCGGGCGGCTGTGCGCCCCTAAATTCCTAGCTTCTCTCCGTGTGCTGCGTCCCTGGTTGCCAGGTGAGAAACCCGTCAAGGCCCCAGAAAACTCAGAGTGCCACGGCATCTGCGGATGGGCCGGCGACACCTGTTCAGGGCTCACCCTCCCCGGCCCTCTGCTTCCTTTGGGTTCAGTGTGATGCAAGCTGAAGTGGGGATCTGGTCGGTTGTGAAGGCCTCGGCACCCCGGGAGCCGCTGACAGGGAAGGACTGAAGGTTTTCTATGTCTCCAGGCGCGGGTAGGCGACCCGAGGGCAGTTCGGCCCGCCGGATACTATTACAATGAGACATCCGCGCCTCCGCAGGCACCTCTCTATAGTATTAGGTACACTGTGGGGCGCTGGGGGGCTAAGTGGGAGGTGAAGCGAGGAGAAGGTGGTAAGATGATCTGCTTCCTTCCCTGCCGGCAGGAACCGGGTAGTAAGGAGGCGCTTCAAGTCAGAAAAGCGTTCAGTTCTCAGGGCGCTTGCTCCTCACCTGTACAAACAGCACTTTCAGATCTGAACCGGCTCCAAAGGCCGCCATCGCAGGCCTGTTCACACT